AGGGTAACAACTCCTGGACAGGACAGTGGCAAACTGACTGAAGATAATGCTAACAATTTTAACCATGGAAGTCATCAACGATCTGTGAGTGCAATGACACTCTGAGGAAACATTCAGAAATGGGATCCATAGCCCTTTCTGAGAAGGATACCATAGGGAAAATAAAAAGTCTATTTATACTTAACCATGAAGCTCACTACAAAAGGAGAGGGAGGTGTGTGGAGCAGTGCAATAACATATCTAATATGCAACTTTTCCTAAGTGCATATATAGTTTGGGTTTGTCATTGCATGTCTCCTTCGTCTTCCTGGTTTTGTCTCGTTAGAGGAATGTTACATGAGCATCACACAGTTGCTGAGAAATGTACAATTACTTTCTTTCATCAAGGAATATTTTTCTTTCACAATAATAGGGAATAATTGTACTAGTGATGTTTCAATGTTATTATGCTATTGAGGTAACAAAGAGAATCCATTCTATATTAAGCCAAGTCTTAGAGCAACACCTCCCACTCTAGCTTTTAGTATCAAAGTCTTAAAAAGACCTTACTAACTAAAAAAATTACAGTTCTGCCAGGAAAAAACATTACCTCCTGGTACTAAAGGTATTTTCAGAATAACAGCATTGGAAAGAAACTAGAGAATGCTCCAGTTTTTAATATATGGAATTTATATGTATAACAAATCAGGTCTATAGTCTGTTTTCCCTGAACAGTAAGCTCAGTATTTTTATGCAGGCAGTGGTTTGACATGATACTGTTAAGAACAAATGAGTTTATGAAGTAGAAGGATGCAAATACTGAACTACAAGAACTGACAGGATAACTCAGTCATAAGTGGAGACTACTTCATACCTACAAAAGCAGACATATAACAAGTCAAATTCTAGGATTTATGTTCTAGAATTCTAAAGTTGTCCCTGCTTTTTTCATCTAGAAATTCAGTTTCTTCCTTCCATTCTCTATATTATTATGTAGTGTTGCTGCATTCAATCAGGTATAAATCATGCTCCTCCCCACAGTTGGTTACATTCAAATAGTTGATAGAGATCTTGCTAATGGAGATTTTGACAAGCAATATATGAAGATCACTGATCACACTGCAGTAAGTACATGGTGTAGAATGGCCAAAATATGCATAATATCTTCATCCTTTCCAGTTTCTCAGGGCAAGAAGATGTAGGAAAAAAATAATCAAATGTCACCATCACATTGTTACCTATTGCAATGCAATGAAAGGTGACTGATATTTCTTATAGAAATGTTGACTAGTAAGAAAATTTCCCAAGTTTTTCTTCGCAATGTGGGTTGAAACCTTAACTATGTTTTAAATTCAAGCCATCTGTACTTCTGTGAATCTACTGCTGGTTCTGATTTAAGTAGGTTTTTAGCATTTTTTATACACGCTATATTAATTTAGCTATTTACCTATTACAATGTGTGATCTGTTTAATAAGCTATTTAACATATACTAATTTAACTTATGTATTTTGTTATACTTACTGTAACTAGAGTCTTCAAGGTGTTATTTTAAAGCAACTCAGGCAAAATTGAGTAGCATATCTGCCACTGGGATTTCTGGTAGCCAGAGCAGGACCACACATAGAACTGTAATTGTTAAAGTATTAATTGTCAGCTGTAAAACAATTCAGAAAGAGTTTTTTTGCATGATGTACAAAATGAAGGAAATTAGGCATAGCTGAGATTATTGTTAATGGAGTGTGAGATTGCTCAGATGTTTGCTCACTAGCTGGGAACAGACCCTGGGTGACAAGACTTAAGATCAAGCCTTTACAATTCACAGCCATGTTTTTACATCAAATGGTCCATTTCCTTGGAACTTAAAGATGGCAATTTCTTATACATTTTATTACAAATTGTGAAGTGTTTTTGCAGTAATAAATGTAATATAGTCATGACTTGGTGTGTTGTTGAGAGGATGAAAACAGAGGCAGAGGAGTGGTTTTCCTGTTGTCATCCAGGAGTGGCAAGCTCATGTCTTCAGAGGCCACTCACACCTCTATCTCGTCGGCCATGCTATACGAATGCTTATCACAAAAACTAGATAAATTTGTCTGGATGTGCAAGGGCACTGACCATATGTCGGAAAAGGGTCAGACAGGTTATGTTGAAGTGAATCTGGAAGACCTGTAGACGTTCCTGAATTCAAAGCAAGAATTAATTTCATGTTTTCTCGTCACAGCTTCTACAAAACCATTCTACCATGCATTTTGCCCTGACAGCTGCCTTAGGTTCTGAAATGGCATATAGTTAAGGGAGGGTCCTTTTGAGAAAAGGAATGAGGGAAGGATTGCTTATGATCTCCAGCAAATTAGCAGCAAAAAGCTCTATAGTGATGGAGTCCCTGCTATGTCAGGGGATGAAAGAAGTGGAAGACAGTCCCTTGCTAAGTAACTTCTACACTGCAACCAAAAATAGTTACTTCAGCTAAAAGAAAAAAAAAAGAATCTAAATTTGTGTGGCTGCCTTAAATAATTCTACATTAAGACCTACGATCTGTTAACTCTGTTGTGCAGTAGATGATAACAAAACAGTCCAATAGGTTTATTTACCTGGGGAGTTTGCAACATAGAAGAAAAGCATCCCTGATCCTTGAGGAGAGAGAAAGCTGAAACAACCAGAAACAAAAGGCAGCATCAGCCTATGCATCCCAGCTGGCTCTGCAGCTTTATGAAGCTCTCCCCTGATACCTCTACTCCTGGGTGACCATGCTACTGTCCATCATCCAAAGCAGACGCTACTATAGTTCAGGACCTATATTCACTGCTAAACAGTGTCATCTTTTCTGTGCACTGGGCAAGATGAGCATGAACTATATCATGTTAAAAAGATGGTGAAGAGGCACCTCCCTTTGATCATGAGGTAAATTAGCTGAGCCTGTCAGTCCCTTTGGGAAGTAAGATCTTGCATTAAAAAATACTTTTTTTTTTTTTTCTAATTAAAGCAAGCTTACAGTAAGAAAGCAAGCCCCCCAGTGAATTTATTTGCAAGAGAGGAAGTGTATTTGCTAAATGGGTTATTTAGACCTAACTGGGTTTCCAAGACAGCTTTTTTTATTTCAAGACATATTTAATAGTACTGTCAAGATACACATTCCATTAGCTCTAATGTGAATGCTTCACAACAAAACAGGTGTCTCACTTTTTAATGTGTCCTCTGGTGATATTCAACATTTCATACACTCGGACTCTAAAACACTAAAAATAATGTTTTTTTGTAAAATTACCACATACGTTTTATTTTGGCTTATGATATTATTATAATAATATACTGCATATGTAACAGTGCTTTGAGCTATACAGAGCTATACCTAAACTACACGACAAACCGAAGGTGGCATCTCATATAGAGGTGAACAGGAGCTGATTTACCAGGTCTATTGGTTGAGTAACAGATGCAATCCCAGGCTGCTTGCAGTGGTGTCGGTGAACAGCCATCCATCATGTTCCCAACAAAGGCAAGCTTTTTGGGTTTTTTTTTTT